GACGGATCGGAGGGCATCTTCAGCCAGTTTCTTAGGATCCACTGTGGGACAGACTTTTACAAGAGATCCTTCCTGCCTACAGCCATCAGTATCTATAACATCTCTTAATGAAACGAGGATAACGAGTTACAACAACAAATAATTTCCCTTTGGGATTAATAAAGTATTTTTGAATTGAATTGAATTGAATTGGTAGCACGACTTTTTGGGTAAGTTTTACCACAGCCATTTGGACATCGTGTTAGCCTCGATAGCATGATTAAGTCTTACGGCACAATGGATAGACAAAAACTTGGAACTTAAAAAGGCTGTCCTTCATGCACAAGAGTGCAGAGGATCCCACACTGCAGCTATAAACCTGGAACAAGCCTCCACAAGTGTGACAGCATCGCAGGTGAGTAATGCTTATAAATAACATTTAACCCTTTCCATTTAATATAAGTCAAAGTGCTATGCATATCATATAGCTGTAACTGAATATATGTCACCAGCTCTTACAGCTGTTGCACATTTTTTGTAGCAAATAAGCCTAAAAACAGGGCTATGTTCTGACAAAGGAACATTATAAAACATCGATATCTGCATCGGTTATCGGCCGAATAAGTTTTAACATATCGGCATATCGGATATCGGCCAAAAATCCAATATTGTTCATCCCTATAAAATACTTTTATCACTTTATTTTTTCAGTAATCTTTGATTATGATGTCAAAAGTGCAACAGTGAACATCAAATGAGACCAATCAAACACTTGTTGAAGAACCTGCAACCAAGAAAAGATGTTGTGTATCTGACTTGAATTAGGGTGCATTCACACCAGCCCTGTTTAGTCCGCTTTAATCGAACTCTAGCTCGTTTTCCTAGAAAGTCCGGTTCATTTAGGGAGGTGTGAACGCGCCAACGAACACTGTCACAGAACAAAAAGGCAAACTCTGGCCCGGGCTAAAACCTAGGTCTCAGTCCAGTAGAAGACAACTCCAGCGCAGTTCGAGTACAGTGTGAATGTAAACAGACTGGGCCCCGCTCCGCAGGACAAACAAACACACATTTCTCTTACCTTATATGGAGCCGTCAGCTACCTTGTGTGGAAAAACAATATTCTCCATGGTCTTCTGCCTCATCTTCTACTCATGCTAAATCCATTTTTGAAAAATGTCAAAATATAACTCCTAAAACTGCTAAAACTTGATGCCACTTCGTTTTTATTTTTATTTCCAGAAGAAGAAGACGTGTCTTCAGAGGTTTTTGTGTTGTTTCTTTTAGTAGTTCTTGGTGCAGCGCCCCCACAGGCGAGTGGGGGAATAGATTGGTTCAACAGGTTGACTCGACTGCACAGTGCAGTGTGAATGCAAACGCACCAGCTCAAATGTAAACAAAAGGTCATGAATATTGGTCCCGAACCAAGTCTACCGGACTATCTAGTGTGAAAACGACCTTAATGTATATTCTGAAACCGGCCCTTAGTTTGAAAACGGTTTTAATTTTGGCCCCCTTTTGTACATGAGTTTGACACCCCTCCCCTACAGCAACTACAAAGTATAATCAGTCATTTAACTATCATTCCCCGGCGTGTCGATTGACTACAAATAGGAAAAAAATCGTTAAGAGTATACGGTGAAATCGCCGCCCGCCACCTGTTATTGAGAAGGCAGCATGTCACCTTTACACAAGTGATAGCATTATCTCATATCTTGTAGTTTTGAGATTTAAGTGTAAATATTGACATAAAAAGTCTCAGTGCTGAAAAAAGTCAAATTTCAAGATTAGTTTCGAGGACGTAAACTGCAGTAATTTACAAAAAGTGTCTCAAAGACATTGTGTTTGAGTGTTGACTTCTAAATTATCCTAAAAATCCATGTTAGTCTGGACTGCAGTGTCCATCTGACTAAAGAACAGTAAAATAAGTAAATTGTTTTCATAAGATTTAGGTGTGTAGAAAAGTTTGTTAGCGCTCAGCATATGTATTTGAGACTCCTATTGTGAAAGATTGAAGAAGGCCCTGCAAGTACTACTTCAGCTATAATAGTGCATGTTATTTGTAATTACCCAGTAGGGCTGTTGTAAACGAATAATTTAGTAATCGAGGAATCTATAGAATATTCTTGCGATTAATCGAGTAATCGAAAACAAAATTTGTCAGGTTCTGCAGTAACCACTCATTTAAATACATGAAAAAGAACATTAAGTAAATAATCCATTTAATTCCTCATTTTAAAATATTTTATTTTAAAATGTAATAACATGTTGAACCTCCATTTCTCTGAAGTGTAGCAAAACTTTTTTTTTCTAAAATGTAAAACCAGAAGAGAGAAGTGAAAAAAGTACATTAACATGAAATAGAAAACAAATTAAAGCAAAAGCAGTAAACACTGCCCTTTATAAATTCTACTTGAATGTCTGAGCTTGTCAGGGTTTTCGAGGCAGATCAGAACAGAAGAACCCAGTTGCGCAGGCAGGACTCAGGAGGCAGACGTATAAAATAAAAATACTTTTAATAATAATAATAATAATAATAAATGAAAAGGCTGACATGGCAGCAAAACTTACAACAAGGACTCAAGAACAGGATCAGACAGGCAGGACAGGACAGGACAGGCAATACCCAACGACGAACCGACAATGACAGAACTGACAGACAGACTTTAAATACACACAACCAGGACATGACACAGGTGACGATAATCAGACAATCAATACAGACACAAGGGAGAACAGACAGGGGGAAGGCCCACTAGATGGTGCCATCCCTACAGAGCTATAACGAAATCCACTTGTGCGTTTTCTAGGATCAAAGTTTCTATTGTCATTTACATATTTGGTGCACAAGGCACATCCTCAAGCCACTCTGCAATATTTGCTGCTGTGTGTCTTTCTTCAAGCGGCATTGTTGTCAGACTGTGGGACTCCATTTTCCAGTCCTCCCCAAGAAAGTGGCAGGTCACCCCAAGATATTGCCTCCGTGGCAACACTTGTCCAAATGTCGGTTGTGAGAGCAATGCTGTCAGTCTCTTTCAGCGTGTTTTTCAACTTGTCTTTGATTTCTTCATACTTTTTCTCCACCATTTTTATAAAGTAGGATCTGAAGGGAAGGACGTAATTTGGATTGAAGGTTGAGATCATTTTCTGGAAGTCTTCATCTTCCACCACAGACAGCGGCTGCATGTCCGTGATGATCATATTTAAAATGCTGTTGGTGAAGTCTGCTGCTTGCAGAACTGAACATCCTGGTGCGCTTTGCACAAAGCTGTCCAATGTGTGACTCTGCGATTTACTGAAAAGAAGTACAATAAAATTATTATTTGTTTGTTCATAGCTATGCCTTAATACATTTTCAAGTGTACTTCATTGGATATTATAAAATTATATAATATTGTTAAGGGGTAATCTACACTTTGATGACCTGCTGCAATCAAAGTAACATTAGTGTCAGTTGTATTTGATTTATGCATTTTAAGCTTTTATTCATGTGAGGTTTGAGGATGCTTTAATTAAAACCCTCTGTCACTGAATTATTTTTAACCATTAATCTAAATGGATAAAATTAAAATGTTTTTATTTATGTGTGTTCTAAAATCTAAATGCTGTAAAATAATTTTTTATGGATTGGAAAACTGAACGGAATCTTTATATGTTAGAAATTAAGTAAGTAAGATAGATAATGTAAAAGTTTGTACATTTGAGTTCTGCAGACTTAACTTGTAATTGTAAATGTTAAAAATACTTTGCTTTTTTTTTATTAAGACTATTATTTTTCTCGATTGCTTAGCTATAAACAAATATGACAACAGTAGTAATAAATGTAGATTACTCCCAGTTTTCAAGTCATAAACAGCAATAGCAAGAAAATAATAAATCCTACTACCTTGTGTAAATACATTTACACAAAATATTCACCCTAAATATCTCATTTAAGTCAGGATGGAAGTACAGCAATAAATAAATGCGTCAGTCTGTTGCTGCTTCTATCGTTAACAAACGTGCATCAAGTCCTGCAGTTTTTTTTTCTTTCTTTCTTTCTTTCTTTCTTTCTTTCTTTCTTTCTTTCT